TTTTCCCTCTGTCATCTGTTTCATGTGTGGCCTAAATAATTGTGATTAATAGGATAATGATTCAAGTAAGATTCACTCAAGTAGTCATTTAATAATTCAATTATTAAATGATTGTCTATGGTTGCCTATTCAGAGGAGATACATAAGGTATATCAATGGTAGATTTATATAAAGTAACAGTTACTCAATTGATGTACTAGTTTGGATTACTAATTCAATTTTGAAGTTTCTGCATTTCATGCATCTTGTAATAACAAGGCCATTAACAAGTGCATAAATTTTACTCGTGGTAAATATTCCACTATTTTAGGTAGGTTAAAGAAGCTACTAAATGAATGGAAATAAAAATGTCTTATTCTACATTTTGTAGAAAATGAAATACTGATTATTTATATGTAAAAGAATACAAAGACAATAATAATATTATCAATGGAATATGATTTAGAATGAAAGCAATTATACATGTCATGATATATCATATATATCACAACTGTCATTACCAGTCTGCAATCTTGGGCAAAACAACAAAGCAGGAGGCATCACAATCTCAAGCTCATGTAATATTGTACTATAAAGCTACAGCGATAAAGTAGCCCATTTTTAGCAAAAAAAAGACAAGGGTATCAGTGAAACAGAATAGAGGACACAGAAATGACTCCAGAAGTATTCAAGTGTCTGATCTTTGACAAAGGAGGCAAAAACCTATACTGCAGGATAGATAACTTCTTTAACAAATGATGCTGGGAAAACTAGTTTTCCCCATAAAATCTAGACGCTAATTTAGATGTACAAAACTAAAGTCAAAACAGATCAAAGATCTAAATGTTAGAAAACAAACATAATCTGATGGAAGATAAAACAGTTAAAGCTCTTGCAGACATAGCAAGGACCTTTATACAGAGCCCAAATTATACAAGAAATAATACTAATAATCAACAAATGAAAATACATGAAATTGAAAGCTTACTGCACAGCAAACACCAGCAGAATGAAGACATAATCTGCAAAATGGAAATAAAAATTTGCCAACAATCCTCAGATAAAGGACTAATATCTAGGAAATACAAACAATTTAAAAAATTAGATGACCCCAAAGTAAAAAAATTAAAAATGGACAACTGACGCGACCTGATACTTCACAGGTGAATTCAAATGGCAAGTAAACAGATGAAAATGTTCGGCATTAACAAGACACAAATTAAAACAACACTGACACTGCACTTTACTCCAGAAAGAATAGCTATCATGAAGAAATTAAATAATAAATACTGGACAGGCTGTGGGTGTCGGCGAGTGAACCTGGATACATTGCTCAAGAAATTGCAAACTAGTACAACCACTATGAAATTCAGGATAGATATCTCTCAAAAAACTAAAACTAGAAATTCCACTTGACTTAGCTTTTCCACTTCCAAACATCTTCCTGAAAGAGTTTAAGATTTCATGCTAGAGTAACATGTGCATACCCGTGCTTATAGCAGCAATTCAGAATAGCTAAATTGAGGAAGGAGCCTATATTTCCATCAACAGATGAATAGATAAAGAAAAGGTGGTATTTATACACAATGGAGTACTACTCTGCTATAAAGAGTGATAAACTTGAGTCATTTATAGGAAAATGGATGTACATGAATACCATAATGTTAAGTGAAATAAATTAGACACATAACTTTAACTATCACATGATTTCTTTTATGTGAGAAACACAAAATATAAAGAAAAAGAAAAAGAAAAGAGATAGCTCTTTTGCAAAAGGCAAGTGGACTAAGACAAGGAGAAAGGGTAAAGAAGAAAAGGAGAAGAGATTTTAAAAAAAAAGAATTAAGAAGTGTGGTGTACAGGTACCAACTTCCCACAGGGAATGGAATTGTTATGTGCTGCAAAGATGTACCAACAGAAAATAAATAAACTTATAAAAACATTAATGTTTAATTAATTAACATTAATTTATAAACCAAATACTTAGCAGCTTATTAAAAGTGAACGAACATTTGAGCAATTTCTTTCCCTTTCGCAATATCTATTGTACCTTTTAGGTTTTATTTACTCTTTCATATTCTTACACTAGGGAGACAATATGATACTAGGAAAACCTGGGATGAGGGAAAGGAGAAAAAGAAAGATAAAAAGAAGGTAAAAATATATAGAAGGATAGCTAGAATACCTGTAGTGCTGATATCTATTGGTTTACTGAAAGGAACAGTTAATGCTTAATTTTTTTGATCAATTTTGTATGCTTGTATCTGGTAATCCGAACAACTAATTTGAAGAAAACAGTATGCAATACAACCAACACTGGTGAATTCCTTCCATCTTATTTAGTTAAGCTTTGTATCATTTCTAATGTTTTTTCAATTATTTTTTATTCTCTTTAATGGTTTGATCAGTCTTGCATTCTTACATTTGGTTATCCGAGCAACTTTTTTGAAGACAACAATATGTAATATAACAACCACTGTTAATTCCTACCATTTTGTTTTAAAACTCTGTATCATTTTTATTGTTTTTGTGTTGTTTTGTTTTTGTCTATGTTGTTATTTTCTTTAAAATGAAAAGTAAAAAAAAAAAAAGAATGACCAATATTTTATTTTATTTTGTTTCTCAGAATGTGGGGCGTTCACATGATTCTTTGAGATGGCTGAAAAATTAGGACTGGACAGATGGCATACCTGGGTGGACGAGGTTAACTTTCCATGTTCATTTTCATCCTTAGAGAAGCTAAGTAGCTCTGGCACCTGTAGTCCATGGGCAGTGTTCCAAATAAGGGAAAATCAGAAGCTGACTAGCCTTTTAATGTTGGGCTTCTGGTGTTCTCTGCAACATTATGTTAGTCAAACCAACCACAAGGCAAGGCCATATTGAAGGAGGTGGGACTGATTTTACCACTTCAAGGGAGCATGCTTCCTTGAGGTCCATTACTTTATTAATCTATGACACAAACCAAGTGACAGCTTAACCCATTGCCTTTTGAAAGATAAATTCCATAATTTTTTAACTGCATGCTGAGATGTAAAATGCATTATATTGGGTTAATAGCCTCATCCATCCATCATTTTTAAAGACCTTTTTGTGCAATGAGGGTGCCTTCATCTTTTCACACTATAAAATTAGCTCTTCTGAAATGTTGGAGTATCGGCTATAAAGAAATTCAAGACAGTACTAAAAGATATTGTAAAAGATTTTGAAATGGGGAATACTGACATAATTTATAGAATAGAAATTTAAATAAGTCATTCATTTTTAAAAGTTTATCAATATCATGACAAAAGATTTGAAGGAATAGCAAAACAGTCTTTTATGTTTTTGTTAATAAAAGCAAGTATGATGCGTCCATAGGGAACAGATCAATGGTTTGGTAAAAAAAAAGGGAGGCAGAACTGAAGGCTGTTCTGCATTTTATTACAATATGTTTAAAATTACAAATTAAGGGCCAGGGATGTGGCGGCACAAGCACCTGCCTGGCAAGGGCAAGGTCCTGAGTTCGGTTTCCAGTACCAGAAAGAAAAATTACAAATTGCTTTCACAAAGTATACGTTGTTTTATGATTTAGATTCAGTGCTCATTTATTGAACACTTCAAATACTTTGGGCGTTAGTAGTTGACCTTTATTGCTAACCTGCACTGGTGGAAGAGAGACAGCATCGTATGCATTTATTGCCTTCCAACAAAAGAGGAAAATGGGGATCACAATACCAATTATTTAGCCTAGCTAAACAGTGGCATGGAAATTTGAAATCCTATTTTTTAGCATTTTTTCCAGTTTTTGTGTCATTACTGAAGCCCTAAAAAGTTTGTCAGAACAATCATTATCAAGTAAAATGAATTTTTTTCAAAAATATTCCCTTTGCTAATTAAAAATCAAAATAAGGCAGTTTACTATAAAAGTCCTTTTAGATAAACAACTGAAGTGTATGTAATGCTAATTATAGATGTAACATATAGTAGATGGAGGCTTTACATACATTTTCCCATTTAATTCACAAAATTTTCCACAAAAGTACTATTAATTTTCAGTTTAGGAAATAGACTTAAGACATGTATGTAGAATCATCTCAGATCATTTACGTCAGAATTTCTGTAGAGAATATTTTTAAAAAAGATTCCAAAGACACAATAATATGCAGACAAAATTGAGAGCCATTATACACTTATTTTATACTTTGTAAAAGACTTGATTATGTCATTTGTGTTAAGCTGGAATATAGGAGACACTGAAAAGTGCATACTAACAAATTCATGGTTTTCTCATCACTATTTGAAAATTCTCAGAGGTTAGAAATTTGTAGTTGGGTATAATATACTACTGAGTATTTTTAAGAAATGTGAACACAACTTTTGAAGGAAATATATATTGTTGATAAATGACTAAAATTTTATAAATTTTGAAGCTTTAAACTACTAAAATGAGATATAGTATAAAGCACCTCATGGTCATTATGTTTGTGGGAAAAAACACTATGTGCATAAATTACTGCCTAGATAAAAAATAGTTTATATCATCAAGCCAGGCATTTTGTTCAGTTTCCAATCAATTCAAAGTAAAATTTCATGTGATGAATTCTTTTAAAAGTCTGGCCTCCACTGAAAGTTTACATGTATCTTTTTCTTGGATTTCTTCCAAATTCCATACCCCGAACTGAATCTTTTTTATCATACATAAAAACATTTTAATATATTATTCTAATGCCTGGTAAATTTATATCTATTTTAGCCTAAAGTATAACTTATGTGTAAACTTAAGAATAAATGAGTATTTTTATATTAGGTAAAAAATATGTCATTAATTTATTTATTTACAAAGGAACCCAATACATTCAGATGCTAAAATCAGTACTTATATAAAAAAACTGCAGACTCACCCCAAAATATTTTCTGACCATATATTAAGGTGAAGAACTTATTTTACAAATATATGATTAAAAGGAAAACCTTTCACTATCGAAGACGTATGTGAGTTTGAGGTAGTAATTCAAAGAATCTCCTTCAAGATAAAAACTTACCAGCAAATTTGATATGAAATTTATTTTCAGGCTTTAGTATCTGGACATACAAAGGGCAATTAGGAGCAAAATCTTTCACAGCCCATGCTCTCAAAATAGTTTGGTGATCCTGAAAGGAAAAGATGAAGAGTTCAAGTACCTTGAGGTAAATTTACGTGTTTATAGGGTACAAAGTAAAAATAATCAAGAAATCAGTTGTTAAATGGTCACACTCCAAGTTAAAAAATAACACACAGAATAATTCATTGCAAGAATTCATTTTTGAGAACATAAATTATTTCAGTACAGGAAGTAACAATACCTAATATAATCAATGCTAACTGCTTGTAATTATAAAATTAGCAGAGATTAAGAGAGTATTTTGTTCATGAACTCTCTATCTACCCCATGTCTTCAAGATTTCTACCTACTTTGTCCTCCAGTATTACTTTCCTATTAAAAAGTTTTTAGACATCAAAAGAAATCACCAACAGAGTGAAAAGAAAACCCATAGTGGGAAAAAATTTAGCCAACCGTCCCTCAGACACAGGACTTCTATCTAGAACATATACAGAACTAAAAAAAGAAAAAAAATCAGGCCTCCCAAATTCAAAGACCCAATTCAACAATTAGGCATCTGAGATGAATACACACTTCTTAGATGAAGAAATACAAATGGCAAATAAATATATGAAAAAATGTTCAACATCTTGGTCATTCAAGAGATGCAAATTAAAGCAACAGTTAGATTCCATCTCACCCATCATCAATAAATCAACCAGTAAGAAATGCTGGTGGGGTTGTGAAGAAAAGGAATCCCACAAAAAAGGAACCCTTTTTTCAGTGTTGGTGGGAGTATACACTGGTACAATCACTATAGAAATCAGTGTGGAGATTCCTCAGAAAACTAGGATTTGAGGTCCCATTCGACCCAGCTATTCCCCTTCTGGATATTTTCCCAGAAGAATGAGAAGCATCATACCACAGTGATATATGTGCACCCATATTTATAGCGGTACAATTTATAATAACTAAAACTTGGAAACAACTCAAATGCCCATCAAACAAGGAATGGATAAAAAAGATGTGTTATATTGATACAGTGGAGTACCATTCAGCTATGAAGAATGATAAACGCAAGGCTTTTATAGGTGAGTGGATGCAACTTGAGACCATACTCATAAGTGAAATAAATCAAACTCACATGTGTAAACACCATATTGTCTCTCTAGTGTAAGAAGCTGAAAGAGTAAATAAGATCCAAAACATACAGAAGATATTGTGAAAGGGGAAGAAACTACTCAAAAGAAAAGAAAAACTGAGATTGGATGAAAGGAGAAAAGAAGGTTAAAGAAAAAAATATATATACACACACAAGATAGCTAAGATAATTATACTGCTAATTTCTATTAGTTTATCAAAAAGAATGTTTTGTGTTTAAATTGTTTAATTTGTCTGTATCTTGTAATCTGACCAACTACTTAGAAGATAACAATAGGCAGCATATTAACCATTGTTAATCTCCTGTTATTGTGTTTTGAAATTCTGTATCATTGTTTTTTATGGATTTTTTTCTCTTTAAAATAAAATTCAAAAAAAAGAAAGGAGTATCTAGATAAAATTAAAAATAATTTCTCCTAAAAATTTCTGTGAGTCAATAGCTTACAGAACTGGAGCACAACTACTATAGGACTCAATCTTCATAATATTACAAAATTTAGAAACTTTGGCAAAGACAAATACAGTAACCATGCATGTAACTAACACCTTAGCCTACCTTACCTGTGTAACTGTACTGATAAAAGGATTTTGACTGTGTTGGGAGGGGCATGTAGAGAAAAAAGTGCTCAGATATGGTAAAATATATTGAAAAATTATGACACTAAGACTAAAAATGAGACTCCAATTGATGCTTAACAGGAAATCTTACACACAGCCCTCACCTCATAAAGAATTATTAATGAATTGAATAAACCAAGGCAAATAGCCCCATACAGATGTTCAGATTTTTGGTTGTTTGAGCTTTTGTTTTTGTTTTTGAGACAAAGCCTTGCTACACAGTTCAAAAGGCTGGCCTTGAACTCACTATATAGTCCAGGCTGGCCTGGAACTCATGGTGATCCTCCTGCCTCAGCCTCCTCAGTTCCCCAGGGCTGGGATTACAGGCGTGCACCACCACACCTAGATGTTCACTTTATTTAATTTAATCTCATTTAGTTTAATTTAACTAAAACTAAGTTCTATGTGAGGTATTTGGAGATGCAGCTTAGGGGTGTAGTGATTGGGTCACGAATTCTCCATAGCGGCAAGATTCATGATCTTCTTGCAGAGACCCTAGACACTTTCCAAGCCCTGCAGACACGTGAGGACACAGACAGTGAAGAGAAGACAATCCTCTCCAGACACTGAGTCTGCTAGCACACTGACCTTGCACTTCAGAGTCTGAAGGGCTCTCAGAAATAAATTTCCATTATTTATAAGCCACCCACTCTATCAAATTTTGTTACAGCAGCCCAGACTAAGACAGTGATGTTAACTGCATGAAAGTTGGTGAACAGTAGAGCAGAACAGCTGCAGCAGACAGTATGAAACTCTAGTCAAGCACTGAAATCCTGACAACAGCAAAAATGCTACTGACACTCATCAAATGTATATCTGTTCATTCATGTAGCATGCTTTTAAATCTGTGATAGGAAAATTGGAGATAATTTAATGGCATTGTTGTTTCTTTCACCAGAAGTACAAAATTTAATGGAAAGGAAAAATGAGGAAAAGTCAGTATACCTCTTAAAACTTTATTTTATTTTATTTATTTTAGGTTGTTTTAAAGATAATGGGCAATTTTAGAATTATTGTGCTGCTTTGCATCTCAATATAGAGCTGGACTTGGACAAGTTAGAGCTCCTTATTTGTAAAAGTTGAGACCTCATAGCTCACAAGACTGCACTGCTAAGATAGTACATGTAAAACTCTCAGTAAGGGTTAGCAGTTAGTTAATATTAAGTACATGGACTTTTTCTTATGCAAGTCATCTTAATAATACAAATAAAAACATTAAAAATAAAAGGTGAGGAGCAAGGATGAATTTCTTATCAAGAAGATTTTAAACTAAAGTTTGCACGCTGACATCAGCAACAAATACATCAATAATAAAGGAGGGGATACAGGATGCTAAGAGATCTACCAAAGACACAGAAGAGCAAGCTCTTCATCAATTGTCCTTCTTGAAAATAACTTTAAACTCTGCATAAAACCTATGAAACAACCACACAAGAGCCTTTAAAAATGAGCACTGGCAGGCCAATGTTGCAGAGAAATTATGTCATAATTCTGTTCTGCTGCTTTGACCTGAGGGCAGCTGTGGTTAATACAGTAATAGAGGGAGGCAAAAGCTCCATAGCAAATATGCCAAAAATACAGAGTGGAGCCTGGAGCAATCACAAACACTGTAAAGTTAGGAAAAGTGAGAGGCAAAGGAAAGCCATAAATTATGATCATAAATTTAAGTATCTTTGACTAACCTATGAACCATGCCTATCTGGAGGAGAATAAATGTGATCTGAACTGAAACATGAACCACTGCCAACTTCAGGAGTGACAAAGTTTGCACTTTGAGTTGAACAAAATTAAAACAAGAACATAAATACTTGTCAGAGGAATACAAAAGGATTGAAAGCTCCACCATACGGAAAAAACAATACAAACTTACTCAGCATATGAAATGCCAAGGAAATGTGCCCTGTTTTCACAGAAAGCAAACAAAATGACAACCAACAGATTCTAGACTCTAGGTGATCTGGGTGTTATATTAATAGAATAAGACTAAAAGCTAGTGTTAGAGTTATGATCAGAGGTATTGGAAAATATGGTAGAAAAAATAAAAATAGAAAACTTCAGCAAATATTTTAAAAATATTTAAAATTAAATACAAGAACCTAATGTTACTGAAAAATATTTACTGGGTGGGTTTTGAAGAAGAATGGAATTAACAGGGGCTGGGGATTTAGCTCAGCGGCAAAAGCGCCTGCCTGGCAAACGCAAGGTCGTGAGTTCGGTTCCCGGTACCGGAGAAAAAACAAAAAATCAGAAGAATGGAATTAACACAAAATAGAGTTAGTGAAATTGAATGCAATCATAGATCAATAAAATTTATCTGATAGAAAAAGGAAACAAAAGCCTTGTGCTCTCAGGTTTACTATAAATTTCAAAAAAAGTATCAAAAAGTTACTATAGATCTGGTTCTTATGATAAAAGTTTTGCTTTTGGAAAAGTTCACTTGTACAACTCACTATTCTTATTTTATTTGAACCTTGGCAGCATTTCACTTGTGAAGGATTGGTTCTCTGAGGATTATTTTTGCTTGTCTATACAATGTCCTAGGTTGTCTTTTGACCTTCTTAACCCTAACCCTAACTCACCTTCCTGCTGATAATTCTTCCTTTTCCCAAAAGACAATACCATCAGACGACAAATCCTCAATATCTCTGGCTTATTTTCCTTACATTAGCTGGTTCTCTGAACTCGTTGATTATAATCTCTAAATATTGCTATAATATGTCCATTTCTTTCTAAATATTGTTGTAATATTTCCATTTCTCTCTAGCCCTAGTACCACTTATGGGATAGAACAAGGGAAACAGCCTGCAAGTCAGCCTATCTCAAGTTCATGAGGTTTGTTTCACTATTTTTTGTTCTTGTCACATGTAATGTCCTTTCAAACTAAATGTAATTATATCAGACTGCTTAGAAATGGAAGGGTTTCTTTACTATTAGCATCTGGTCCAAATTCTTAAATAAATGTTATAAGACCCTTTATTAAACTCTCCTCAAACTACTTCCCCAGGTTTTATCTTCTTTACTCCAGAGATAACGCACATTGTCCCTTCTTGAGGCTGTAGCATTTCTCACATGGAATAATTTGTCCAAGACATACATTTCTGGCTAGAACCTACCCATTGTTCCTCTTATTCCTGCGGAATTAGTCACTTATTAGGAAGCCCTTTCTTCTGACTGCTATAAGCTAGGAATGAAATTCATGTTACTTTGTACCATTATAATCTTCATGTGCCCTCTCCTTCCACTAAACTTACATAAATTTTACTATTTTTAAGTTGTTCTTCACTGAACTAT